TTTTTTTTATTGAAATGTTAATTAAGGTGTTCACTTACATGTTCGGTTACTAATTTTGATTTGTTTAAACAAAATTACTTTGCTATAATATAGTATTCTAATACCAAAAAAAGTACTTGCGTGGCGTGAAAATATCTTTTGCGATGTAACTCTTTCAAAAGTACATAAAAATGGTTGCCATCAGGGGTGTACATGTAGATTTGTTAAATGCACCTTGTGCGCCACCTAGGAACAAAATCTAGAACCCGACACTCGAAATTTTTGCTCTGTTACAATCGTACCCTGTTACAATTGACCCCACTCTCCCCTACCGACCTACCATATATTTTTAGCGTAGACTATGGGATTACTTTGACCTTTTCATAAACTTAAGTAATAACTATTTTAAAATGAAATTTATACACTACCTTTCAATATTATTTGTAGAAAAGCAGTTTATAGCGTCCTTCAATGCTTGCACATATAGCTTGAGCTCATGAAGTGAAGCCGAAACACACTGAAGCCAATTTGTCAAGGGATGATCAGGCTGAGCTTGATGTTCATGGGGTAGCGGCACGCCAGTTGCACGACATTTTTCAATCAGCTCCTTTAAGCGTCTTTCTCTACCAGTCTGTGTATAATCTGCGAAGGCTGAAATTAAATTGATTTTTGATTAGGAAACTTCTTTTTTGTAGTCAAAGGCAGCATAACAGTAAAACGAAACATTTTGGTGCTTTTAATTATGTATGGATGGTTCGTTTGACACAGATTGGACACCTGTATCTCTTTTATGTATTTTTCCCTGACGCTCTATTTCAAGCAAAAACATATTGTTTTTTTTTTTTTTTTTGTAATTATCGGTTAGTTTATCAGTTAAATCTGCTAGATTATCGAATCATATTTGAAATTTTTTTTATCCATATTAAAAATTTAATAATTGATTTTGTTCACTAAAGTAACTTCAATAATGAATTACAGTTTCTCTTAAATCTGAATAACTACAAAATAGGTGCAAAATAATTGCTGAAAATTGTTTGGAAGCAAGCCGCGTTTTGAAAATTTTACCTTTAACGAGAAAAAAAAACTTGTTTCAAGCTGTATTTTATAACCATAAAATGATTATAACGCTAAGTATAATAATTTTCACTTATTGACCTAAATTAACACATGATAATTAAAAAAAGATATAAAATTTTTTTAATAAAAATTCATCGTCAAAGGGTTAACGTAACGTAAGCAGCAATACGCTTCTCGAACTGCTAGATTAGTACCCAGAGATATTTATTTGTTATGAGAACTTAGAGGACTTTGTGACCCCGACAGATTTAACTTGCACCAGTCACTATTTTATACACGGGTACTCTTCTGCCTGCTGGATTCAAACTCCCATTCTCACGAACACGAGTCCAACGTCCTATCAATCAGGCTAGCACGGCCAAATTTATTAGTTTATTTTATAGCAGTCATTGCACAGCCGACCCAATTTCGAGTTTACGACTACTAATATTCTACTCCGTGGCCTTGTAATTCTGAATCCAATCCAGAAGACAAGGGAACTGCTAGATTAGTACCCAGAGCTGGGGTCTGTCCAGACATTTTGTGAAAGGTCCGTTTTTCGTGAAATTGTGAAAAAATTACTCACATTCTTTCAACCAGGGTCCGCTTTTGTGAATTTGTGCAAATAGGGTCCGTTATTGCAAAAAAAAACTTTTTAAGGAGTTTTTAAATTGTAAAGATATACAAGATTATGCTCAACACTGCAAAATTATAATTAGAAAAATTAAAGTTTAAAAAATAAACAACAATTGCTGCTTCTAAATTAGAGATGAAACAGACAAATATTTGGTATTTAGCCTATACTGCTGAACGCAGAATATTAATATCGGACGAATAATGGAAGAATCGTCTGCCGAAGACAAAACTTAATTCGTTTACATCCATCTTTCTTGTTTTCTGCCCTGGAAATGGTTTATTCGATTAACAAAATAATAATGAAGATAAACAAATTTGTGAAGGGTCCGATTAAAAGAAAAATCATTTTGGAAACTTCTTTTTTGTAGTCAAAGGCAGCATAACAGTAAAACAAACCATTTTGGTGCTTTTAATTATGTATGGATGGTTCGTTTGACACAGATTGGACACCTGTATCACTTTTATGTATTTTTTCCCTAACGCTCTATTGCAAGCAAAAACATATTGGCCTTTTTTTTGTAATTATCGGTTAGTTTATCAGTTAAATCTGTTAGATTATCGAATCATATTTGAAATTTTTTTCATCCATATTAAAAATTTAATAATTGATTTTGTTCACTAAAGTAACTTCAATAATGAATTACAGTTTCTCTTAGATCTGAATAACTACAAAATAGGTGCAAAATAATTGCTAAAAATTGTTTGGAAGCAAGCCGCGTTTTGAAAATTTTACCTTTAACGAGAAAAAAAAAAACTTGTTTCAAGCTGTATTTTATAACCATAAAATGATTATAACGCTAAGTATAATAATTTTCACTTATTGACCTAAATTAACACATGATAATTAAAAAAAGATATAAAATTTTTTTAATAAAAATTCATCGTCAAAGGGTTAACGTAACGTAAGCAGCAATACGCTTCTCGAAACCGGTTTCAAAACTTCTTTCCCTTCGCCGATAGTCTAAACGAGGCAAAGTGTGAACAGGCTCAATATTCTAAGAAGTTTTAGACTAAGATAAAGATTTAATTTTTCCCTTAATACCAACATTCATTAAAATTTTTCAAGTTATATTTATTTAATGAGAATAAGAAAGAATTAACCTAAAAATATCGCTAACGCACAACGCCTTTACAATGCGGCAAGCCTCTTTAATGTCTGCTGCTTATAATAAAATTGCTGAAGAATGAGAAAAATTTGAGCTCTATTGAAAACACAGATTCAGGTACCTGATAGAGAATAATTTCTTTAAATAAATTTGATCAAAAACTTTTATGAATATCCAGAGGTCTGATTAGAATTTTGGGTCCCTTAACGGACCCTTCACAAAATATCTTTTCATAAAAACGGACCCTTCACAAAATATTTTAACGTAAAATCGGATCATTCACAAAATGATTTTTCTTTTAATCGGACCCTTCACAAATTTGTTTATCTTTATTATTGTTTTGCTAATCGAATAAACTCTTCCCAGGGCAGAAAACAAGAAAGATGGATGTAAACGAATTAAGTTTTGCCTTCGCATAAGATTCTTCCATTATTCGTCCGAAATTAATATTCTGTGTTCAGCAGTATAGGCTAAATACCAAATATTGCATCTCTAATTTAGAAGCAGCAATTGCTGTTTATTTTTGAAAATTTAATTTGTTTTATTATAATTTTACAGTGCCGAGCGTAATCTTGTATCTATTTACAATTTAAAAACTAATCGAAAAAGTTTTTTGCAATAACCGGACCCTATTTGCACTAATTCATAAAAGCGGACCCTGGTTGAAAGAATGTAATTTTTACACTAAAACCGGACCTTTCACAAAGTGTCTGGACAGACCCCTGATATCACTTTACAGTCCTTGAAATGTAGGTCAGATGCCTGATGCCACGCTTGCTCCAGTCTTACGGGAGACGTTAGTTATTTTAAAGATTCTCAATCAGATAAATTAGCTTAGCTTTCTAAACATATTGCTAGAAAATTGAAATCTTAGCTTACCCAGTAGAGTAAATCCCAAAATCAAAGCAGCACACACCATTTTATCTTCTTGTCCTGCTGCCGGATATAACGTGGCAAAATCAGTGATGTCTCCTTCCATAACCAAGTCTCTAATCACTAATGAAAAAATTCAGAACTTTCAAAATTTGATCATTCAATTAATTGATACATGAAAATTTTTTATCAATAAAAATAAACATTTATGCATGGCCAAGCCATGCGAAAAAAATAGCTTATGCGAATGAGAACATAAACCGGATTGGAGAGTTTTTCGAGAAAATATATTTCACCAATTGGGTACTTGCACTTCGAGAAGAAGACACTCTATACCCACACGTGACTTATGACATCAGCACCAGCTGATCGTCAATAAACAAAATAGCCGGGCAAAGTTCAGCTAAGTTTTTTCCACATAAGTTAGAATGTTAATTAACGTGAAGTTAATTAAATACAACGTAGTATTGCACATTGAATTAGTTGAAATTTTAATTCGTTCTTAGATTTTTCAATTGTTTACGTATTTTATTGTAACAATTGATATATTTTTGTTTTGTGTACCTGGCAACATCGATGCATAATTAGTTTATGTTCTACATGGCTTCGTGCCTATCTTTGTGTTAAATAAGAAATATGTGGTGAGAGAATTGAAATCATTGTGAAAGAACATTTGTGACGGATTATAACATGTATCTCTTAAGAGAGTTGATACTTGACGGGGTTAGTTAAATCGAAATAAGATGAAACGAACAGTTGCTAACGTAAACAAAGCCACATTTTTACAACCAATCAACCTCGAAATACACACTACGTCACTTGCAGGTATCTCATTCGGTTCTCGTTCGCATCTTCGAATTAGTCTTCAACTCTTATGCTATTTGCTGCTAAAAGCAGACTCTGTAATCAATTTTCTTCTAAATTTCTGAAAACACTGGAATGCATTTGCGAGGCAGTTTCCGTTGCACGAATTGCGTAAGTAATGTGTACGCAATGTTAAATTTTAAGGAAAATTGGCTGAATGTTAAGTATACTGTCGCATAAAAAAACCGCACCAAAAATATAATGTACTTTCTTAAAGCATTGTTAGTCGGTCTAAAATTTCCAGTTTCAAGAAACTGGGTTCGAAACATTTTATTACCATCGTTGAACAGCTGACCCAATTCTGGCCTTAGTACTTCCAATGTTCATCGCCGTAGCTTTTTTAACCCAAGGAAACTTCCTAATCAAGTTTTGAGAGAAATGTGCCTTCGTGGAGTTTTTGCAGAACTAACCTGCGTTTGCGTTACATAGAGGGAAAACCACAAAACCTCCCACGGCTAGAGGCTGATGGTAAAGGGACTCAACCCCTAGATTCGTCGACCACTGTGGATATCTTACGTCAATACTGATTGGTGCGAGCAGGGTGCAGAATTCATATCAACCAGTTATTAATGGGATTCAAACCCAGTTCTCATTGGGAGGCGAGTGCTCTATCCATTGAGCCACCACTGCTCGGTTCGAACTATTATGCCAATCCCAGGCTTCAAAGCATAAATAGCTATAGAGTGGGAATGTTTTGACATACAACCAATTATCTTTTGGCTGACCGCAAGAGGTTTAAGTCACAATTGTATCGAGAGAACTGTATCAAGTACTGTGTCAGTTTCACTTAACATTTGATCAAGCAGACAAGAGGTGAACTGACAAAGCTGTTCATTTTTTCGTAAACACTAATTTTGAGCAGCGCCCAGAATAATAAAAAAACTTAGAAGGTGCTTGTTGTTTCCGTCCAACATTTGAAATTCAAACTAATTTTCTTTCCCAAACTTCATAAACCGAACTTCAATTGCATATTCTGTATATCAAACCTTTTAGTCCCTTTTTACATTTATAAACCATTTAAGTGTTTTTCAAAAAGCTTTTGCTAAAGAAAAAGCCACTGAACATAACCTCTGAGATCCGCTAGTTCAATAATGGTAGAAAATGTGATTTTTATCTCGAAGTATGAAGCTTAGAAGATAGAACTCAAATTATCTTCTATTAACTAAACTGAACAGTTTTTAATTGTTTTCCTCAAATGTATAAGTTGTAATTTTTAGCTTTTTTTTTTTTTTACATATTGAAGGTTCTTTTCATAGTTTTTTGTTCATATTTTGAACACGAAAGAAAGATACTTATATATCATAAAACTGTTTTATATATTACATGGATCGAATTTTTTACCTTTCTTTCAAGTTTTTTTTTAATGTAAATAAAAATTCTGATTAACGATGGTATATCCAGTTATATCATTACATAGACAAGCGCTTATACTAACAGAGAAAAAAATCATTTCTTAAATAATAAAACAGTATGAAATGTCCAATGTTCCCGAAAATAATTTAAAATACTAAACATTTTCAGATTTTGTATATCTTCAGGTGTCAGAACAATGCAACATCAGAGTTACTTTTTAAATATTAAGTATTTTAATGAAAACAATTCCCAATGTTACGAAGTTACTTTGCTCCAATTCGCGTCATTTTTATAATTCGTATTAAAAAGCACTAGCTAAAGAACCAGGGTTCGTTGATTTAAATCATGATTTTTTTAAAAAAAATTATTGATTTAAATCAACTAATTTTTTTTACCAATATATATTGATTTTAAAAGTTAAAAAAACAGTGTTTTAAATTTTTGATACTCTTATTATTTTCTTTTCTTAGCATTAAAATTTAATTTAAATAAATTGCTGCATTAGTTAATTTCAGTTAATGAAATTACTTTCTTTCTTGGTGTGTGTTAAATTCCAACACATTTGAATTTACATTTTTAAAAAGATTCTTGAGATTGAAAGTACAGATTAAGGTAAACATTTAATGCTGTCTTAATATAGACTTGCATTGCTGTAGAAAGTAATTAATAAACATGAATTTTTTTCAAAAAATAATACAAATACTGTAAATCAAAATTCTACCTTTTGAATGAAAAAGCGTGAATTAAAATCTACATTATATTTTATTGGTGAAAAATGTATATTTCTAAAGCTTGAGGTTATATTAAAAAGAAATTACCCTAATATGCCAAAAACAGAAAAAGAAAAAAAAAAGGGCTGGTGAATTCAGATGTTTTTTTCCTAATATAGTGTCATTCTTCCCTTTCAAACTCTTTCAAAGTCTATTTGATGCAGTAGGGTTATTAACTGGTATTTTTTTCTCATAATATGTTTACAGTATCTTTGACATTATCTGATTTTCTATAAAGAAATTTTGTGAAAAAAAATTCCAATGAGTACATAGATTTTCTAATTTTTTTTTAGCTTAACTTATCTATTTTGATATAGAATTAAAAGTGAATATTTTAATATAAAAATATATAGATTAAATATTTATTTATTTTTTGATGAATAACTCAGATGTTTTTTAACATTTATAAACACAGTCTGCTACATTTATTTTGTCATTTTAAAAATCAAGAGAAAAAAAAAAAAAATCACAATTTTAAATTAAAGTTATGGTTTGCTAACTGAAACTTTGTTTTAATAGTTAAAGTACAGGGGTCTGTCCAAGCCAAATTTACTACCGTTTAACGGTACCTTTACAAATTCAACTTTAGGAAAAATGATAGAATAATCACACAAAATACTTTTTCTTAAAATTTTATTTTTGTGTCTCGTAAGAAACGATAAATCCATATTTTTACTATATTTGTGTTGATTTTTTAATATAATTTTTAATTTTCACAAAATAGGTACCTCTCAGAAAACCCCAGACAGACCCCTGAAGTATTCTTTAAATTCTCTATTTCATCTAGTCTTTAAATTTTAATCATGCATTTGTTTCAAAATGGTTACTATGCATTCAAAGTCATGTATTATAATGAAAAGTTATTTTAATTAGAGCTTCTGAAATATTGCTACAATATAGTTTTAATATTAAGTTAATTTAATTAAGCATTTATAGTTTTTTTTAATCATAAATTAAAGTTCTTACAGTGTATTTGAATTAAAATCAAAAAAATCCGATTTAAATAAAAAAAATATGATTCTTTTGATTTTTTTAAAAAAATCAAAAAAATCACGAACCCTGTAAAGAACAAATCTTGACACATTAATAACTGTTTCAAGCCCTACATTATAAATAATATCACGCTGTTCGTTAAAAAGCGTAAATACGTTTAATGACAGCTTTCTAAGAAAATCCATCGGTATTTTTGCATATCTAATTTGCTTTTTAATGTAAGAATAATGGTTTTTGCTCTGGTTGAAAAAATGCAACTAAAATATACTTACATCCTAAGGCATACAAGTGCTTCAGTTCCATTATTAAAGCCCCAGATAGAAGAATATCCACATTATCACCTTCACGATGAACTCTATTTTGATCTAGTAAAATAAAATGACCCATAATTTAATCAAAAACAATCAATAAGTAAACAATTCTCAACAGACAAGGAATAAAAAATAAAAAGTATACTTAAAAGACCTACCTTCTGGCCAAACTAAACCATCGAAGGATATCTTTCGATGTTAAATTATCCATTTAAAGTTACTAACTGCATATTTTTGCTTAACATTTCAGAGAACAAAAGTCATTAAAAGATCTTAGCAAGCAATATTTATCTAAATCTAATAAAGCTATATCTTAAATTTTAATCTTTTTGAAAATTATAGCGTTGTCGAATCATACTAACATCAAAACTTCGTGGGAAAAAAAGAAAGAAAATTCAGACCCTTCACAATCGGACCCTTCACAAATTTGTTTATCTTCATTATAGTTTTGTTATTCGAATAAACTCTTCCCAGGGCAGAAAAGAAGAAAGATGGATGTAAACGAATTAAGTTTTGTCTTCGGCAGACGATTCTTCTATTATTCGTCTGAAATGAATATTCTGCGTTCAGCAGTATAGGCTAAATACCAAATATTTGTATGTTGCATCTCTAATTTAGAAGCAGCAATTGCTGTTTACTTTTGACGTTTTATTATAATTTTGCAGTGCTGAGCATATTCTTATATCTATTTACAATTTAAGAACTCCTTGAAAAGGTTTTTGCAATAACCGGACCCTATTTGCACAAATTCATGAAAGCAGGACCCTGAATGAAAGAATGTGAGTAATTTTTTCACAATTTCTCAAAAACCGGACCTTTCATAAAATGTCTGGACTGACCACGGCCGGATTTAAGCTTGGTGGGGCCCTAAGCTACTGAAAATGATGGGGCCCTTATAAGTTCAATTCCATTTCTATACACCTAAAGTAAACTGTCATTATTTTTTACTGTTGAGTATTAACATTATATAATTAAAAAATTTGATAATATTAATTTTTTGTTAAATATATCAATTGCGATGAGACTATTATGTAGAACCTTTCTTTTATTGCACTTAATGTTTGAACGAGGGGAAAAAGTTACAAAAGAAACACATTTTAAGCAAAATCATTTTGTGAAGGGTCCGTTTTTAAGTTAAAATTCCCATTCTCACGAGCACGAGTCCAACGTCCTATCAATCAGGCTAGCCCGGACAAATTTATTAGTTTATTTTATAACAGTCATTGCACAGCCGACCCAATTTCGAGTCTACGACTACTAATATTCAACTCCAAGGCCTTGTAATTTTGAATCCAATCCAGAAGACAAGGGAACTGCTAGATTAGTACCCAGAGGTATTTATTTGTTATGAGAACTTGGAGGACTTTGTGACCCCGACAGATTTAACATGCACCAGTCACCATTTTATACATGGGTATTCTTCTGCCGGCTGGATTCAAACTCCCATTCTCACGAACACGAGTCCAACGCCCTATCAACCAGGCTATCCCGGCCAAATTTATTAGTTTATTTTATAACAGTCATTGCACAGCCGACCCAATTTCGAGTTTACGACTACTAATATTCAACTCCGTAGCCTTGTCATTTTGAACCCAATCCAGCAGTCCCTGGAGCAGGTGAGGGCCGTTATATTAATACTGTTTGTAAAAATAAAAAGAACATTTCGTAAGCTGATATTATTTAATTGATGTTTATATTGAAAATATTTCTTCATTATTTTTGCTTTCTTTTTAATTATTTTAAGTACATTTGTTAAATTTTAGTGCAAGAAAAAAAATTGTCATTATTTATGTAAATTTTTGGCTTATATTTTTAAGGATTTATTAAAGGGTCTATTAAATATCAGAGAGAATAAATGTCATACGTGTTTAAAGTATCAGCTCTGCTCTTGATGGTGTATAGTGGCTAGGATGTGAAAGAGCGACTGTCCCGGGCATCCAGCCAAAACGAGCATTCAACATATCAATGGAACACACTAAAGCTTTATATCAATTAGTTTTAGATAATTACAATTGTAGAATAATTATCTTATTATAGAATGAAATGTTTTAAAAGACAAATATCTGTTAATGTTTAACATTTAATCAACGAAAAAACAGAACCAATATTGAAATCTAACGAATTTATTATTTTTAATTACTGATAAAGTTTGTGACAGAAAAAAAAATTAAAGCCTGATAGATTTCAGAATTTTAGAAACACCTTCTATTTATACTATTACAATCAAATAGGTTTCGATGTCTTTCATCCCGGTCTCATCAGTGATTCAGCATATTTCGATATCATTTTTGTTTTGTTCTTACTTAATATTAATTTGTTTGCGACAGTTAATTTGTATACCTCTTTTACTACATTTTCGAGGAATTTAAAAATATGATATTGAGGATTTTAACTGAAATGAAATTTGCTTTTTTTGTATGCCTCTTTTATTACGTCATCATCACACCCACACGCAACTGTCTACTCTAAATAATGCTATATAGAATGAGATAGCAAAACAAACGTGTGTAGTTATTTAAATTCTTATTCAAAAGTATTAGTTAATTTTTTTTTGAACTGACAATTTCTGTTCTTTTTTAGATATTTTAAAGTGCTATTTAAAACTGCTGCATATCACATGAAATATATCATTTGTACAACTTTAAAGTAAAATGAAAGGGAATTCTGATCCTTAGAAACAGATATTAAATAGTCTGATGATCGAATGATGGGGCAAAAAAAAACTTTACCTTTTAAACTAAAAAATTTTTTATTTATAAATAATCTATTAATACTCAAATTGCTTGAAAGATGATATGTTCCCTACTAATGACAACGAAGTTTTTTGTTTTATTCAGTCATTTATTTATATTTATTGTGACCGACAATGTGAAAAAGAAAAAAAATGCATTTTGGGCTTCTCAGGGCCCCAGCTCCGAATAAATCTTTGAAAAAAGAGAGGGGAAAGTAGGATCTGGGGGCCCTTGTTTTCTCGGGGCCCCAAGCTACAGCTTATTTAGCTTATACGTAAATCCGGCCTTGGGACAGACCCCTAGCTACACTTAAGAAAATCCTAACATCAGCTTAACGATCTGATCACACTTCACAGCAGTGCACTGTTTAGTGGATTCACCTCAAAAGACCTGAGTGTCGTAACTAAAGGGTTACACCTCTTTTCGTTCACATACCACCTACAAGTCCCATAAAACTTTCGTATAACATAACACATCTTGAACGAAATTTCTTTCAAACTGAAATATTTTTTTCCTTTAAATATACACTAAGTCAGTGGTCGGCGAAGTGCGGCTCCAGAGCTGCATGTGGCTCTTTGGCTCCTTAAGTACGGCTCTGGCACAAATATCCACGGAAGGGACAATAATATTTTCATTTTTTAAAAAAACTTGGTAAGAAAAAAATTATCTTATTTTGATAAATTAAAATTCTTCTATAAATCGAGAACATGTATAATTTTCTGTTTAAGTTGAAAGATCGATAGGTAATTAAAATTTTATATTGTTGTAAAAATAAGTAACGGACATCGAGTTTAATTTTATTAGTTTTCGTAAACGTAAACGCAAATCATGTACAAGCTACCGGCTGAAATTTTTCGTATTTTCTCGGTGTACTCCGGTGTGATACAAAGGTACCACAAGCATGCGCGCACATACTTTTTCTGAAGTTAAAGTAGTGGGGGTACAAATTGACATCACAGACAAGCAGTTGCAGTGTGAATAGTTTTGTCTTATCTAATGTGTCTGCCGTTGTCCTGTCTTGTTAAAAAGTTTTTGATGTTGAAAGGGAAACATTGTTTCACTTTCCGAGCCTGCTGAAGCATCGCCAAGAAAATAATTCCTTTATTGATAAACACCATTTTAAAGGAATAATTTTAAATATGAGGGAAGCATTTCTCAGCAGGTTTCAGGAATTTAAAAACAGCACAGTAACTTTAGCATTTGTCAAAAATCCTCTTAATGCTGCGATTACCGAGTTGAAATTTTCTCCTTTTGAAATTGACGTTGGTAGCTCTGAAAGACAATTGCTGGATTTAAAAAACAAGGAGATATGGCGCTCTAAATTCGAACGTCATTGTGTTGAATTGGAAATATTGGAGAAGAAAAAAATTGATCTTAGTTCACAACACAAGTGGTTTGCTTTGAATGACCTGGAGAAGGAAGACATGATCATTTTCAACGCTTGGAATAGTATTCCTGGCTATTACGATCAGGTGAAAAAGCTCGGGTTTGCTGTTCTTTCCCTTTTTGATTCTACATAGGTATATATGCGAACTATCTTTTTCAAGCATGAACATTATATCAAGCGTAAACTAAGAAGTCGTCTTATTGATGAGAACTTGGAATCATGTCTAATATTAAAAACAACATGCAAACCTGACTTACTCAGACTTTCCAAGGAGATGCAAGCACATTGTTCTCATTAATAAATGTTTACTAAGTATGAAATTTAGTTTTATTTAGTGTACTACTTATTTAGTGCAATGAAAGTTTGCTAAACAAGCAAATTTGGCTCCCAATTTTTTATAAAATTGTTGTAATGTTCATATTTGGCTCTTTGTCTAATAAGTTTGCCGACCACTGCACTAAGTAGTCTATATTCAAGACATCTAAATCATTTCAAGATAAATGTTTAAATAATTAATCTAATAGTTAAATGAGAAATTTAATGAAGTAATACAATAAAATGTGTATTCTTACAAGCCAGTGATTCATATAATGTTCAATACAGTACACTTTTTGAGGTTGTTTCGTATCTTTCTGATACTTACAACAACCGAGAATACTTTGGTATTTGAGCATGTGGGATGGATGTGCCTTTTTTAAAATACGAATCAAATGTGTGTTGTGCGAATATAACCTTTTCCTGCTACTATGAGACCTTTATCAGCTTGCTACTTTAACTGGTATGCTTCCTTGGCAATCTATATGCATAGATACATAGATTGTTCTGTAATACATAGACATAAGGTGTTCTATAATGATGACCCTTAATATGTATTTTCAAAATCATTAAAAATGTACGCTAAGTTAGGTTTCAAGTTAATATTTAAGAAAAATGAAAGTGCTAAAGAATATAGATATATTAAGGTATGGTATACGGTGGTGAATATTCCTCACCCCGTATACCATACCTCAATAATAAACTTATTGAGGTCGCAATAAACTTATTGATTAAGAGGACACAAAGCAATTATTGCAGTATGTGATGGATGTTAGCTGACCTTTTTCAACAGAATGGCTGCTATTTCGCAATTTTATTGATAGCATCCCACGAAAAAACCTTACCTATATTTGACAGGTTAAACGATGACTTTAACAGTAACCAAAGGATGGAAATAATTCTCCCTGTTTGCCTATAGAACAAGTTTATTCAATATCTTTAAAACACCTAAGTTGACACATAATAAAAATTTTGAGCCTGAAAGGTCATGTAATTCAAACAAGTTTCACAAAAAATAAAGTAAATCTAAAATATCAATACTTGATTACTTACATAGAATAAAGAGACACTTATGCTGCAATTCAATCAGAATATTATCTGGAACATTTGTTATACCAAATATATCTCTCAGCCGATTTCCTTCTGCAAACAAGGCTGGAAAATGCTCCCTGACTAAACCATTTATGATGTCGATTCTTGGAGGTTCAGGTAGTGCGAGAGAAGCCTCATCCCATAAAGATACCTGGGATAGACTGCCTGAAGCCACACTCAGATTTTCGCTTTCGGAAGCTGCAATTTGATCCATATCAATTTCTGAATCACCCTTCGGATTCGCGGCAATTTCTGAATCACCCTTCGGATTCGCGGCAATTTCTGAATCACCCTTTGGATCAATTTCTGGAACCAACACGCCTTCCGCAGCTTTTTTCAACTGTGCCATTTGATCCGAAGTGCTTTCCAAAGCTGCTATTTGATCACCCTCACTCTTTGGTGTGGAAGTCGGATTCTCTATTAATTGTAAAGCAAGTTGACTAAGCGCTATATCGCAAGTAGGATTATTGGAACTCAAAACATCAAAAGTATGCAGGTTGGCATTTTCTACATCCATTGAATAAGTGCTTTCCTCATCTTGCTGTGTGTTCAAGTTTTCATCGAAAAAGGGAGATTTGGGGGACTGCTTTTCGTCAGACATGGCCTATTAAACAGAAAAATGAACAATTCTTATAATCGAGAAGAATTAAGAAAATGTTATATAAGCAACAGTTAAAAAAATCAAGGCAGAATTGTGTACTCTATTTTTTTTTTAATCTTGTTGAAATTTTCAAGATATCTTTTTTACGTAAAACTTTTAAAACTTTGTTTTTGAAAAGACAATTTTTTTTCTTTATTTTCGAGGTGTCAAAACTGAAGGCAATTTTGTATTTTAACCCAATCGGGATCAATAGAATGGGAAAAGTTTCCTCATATCCACATACTCCAAGAGTATCTGTACTCTTCTAATTTGAGAGTACCGGAGATATCATATCCGTCAGAGCTTTGGCCACTAGTCAGAAATGCTCGTTATATATATATAAATAGTCAAAGGGCCGCACTGTGGACCAGGCCCAGAAGACCATGACCTTTGGCTAAAAGTCAAAAATTAAATTTTCAGCTGAAATACATGTAGGCAGCTTTAATATAGCCCAAATTAAGTATTCATAGTGGTCTAGTGATCTAGTGGTCGAATAGTGACCGCCTACCCAGTGATCAAATAACATTTTTAAAAAAAAATCCTCAAGAATTATTATTTTTTATGTAAAAATAGGCCAGGAAATTTTATAGCGTGATAGATCGTCAGTCAGACTTCGCAATGTATCGCAATTTAACATATAATTGAAAGTTATCAATCAGAAATCTTTAAATCAATCAAAAATAAAAAAAAGAAATAAGTCTATAACAAAAGAAAATGTTAATTCTAAAAAAAATTGGTTCTATATCATCAATAGCATTGCTTAATTTTTTCAATTAAAATAAAGAGGAATTGACTTAAGACTGTCCTAAAGATTGACTAGTCTTAAGTAAAAACAAAGCTTTATTTAAAAAATTTTTAAAATTAAAAATGACTTAGATTTTTTAAAAATAGTAATAAAACTGATACAAAATATTTTACATACATTACAAATTAAAAAAAAAAAGAAATGTCCACTGAAATAAAACGTTTTTAAAATTATTTGTTGAAAAAAAATGTGCGTTTTAAACATCGTTAGGCTTTTGTTAATGACTTATTTAAAATAATAAAGTTGTACTGACTAATGGTCATGTATGTGTGGCGTATGTATGTAGATGGCGTATGTATGTAGAATATGGCTCGACTGTTCTCGAACTCATCCGCTACCTACTAAACTAGAGCGCGGCGTGCGCACCGTCACTGTTTTGTTTATATCTTTCGAACAAAGTGTCTTACCATTCCAAAAATTTGGAATTAATATCATTATTGATTATACTTCACACTGTCGAAATATAAAAAAAATCAAAGATGTCCAAATTGCAAAAATAAGTTGTTTTTTTCAAAANCTTTTATATATCACTTTAATTGTTTTAACATGGCAAATTTGTTAACAGACAATTTTTCTTTTGTCTTTTCATTGTTGCAGAAAAACTGTCACTGACGAATAATAGGATTTTTAAAAAAAATCTCTAAATAATTTTTTTAGAGCAGTTAAAGTACAATTTTGTTAATTATTTCTTATCCGTAAATTATGTTTAATACTTTTTCTTTCATAAATAATTATTTTTATTATGAAATATTGCTATTTATTTTAACATATTTTATTTATTTACATTGTTTTATCACTTGCATAAAAGATTATTTTAACATCTTGTCGCTTTAGTGTGATATCGGGCTACTTAAGAAGTCACACAGGCATGGTTAAGTATTTTGTAAATTTCTAAAATTTTTGTTAGAATATATTTTTTTAATTCGTAAAATACAATAAATATGCCCAAGACAATTTAACAATCAACAAAAATTTTAAAAAGTTAAGTAAAACTTTAAATACTATAACATTAGAAATTATGTATAAATTTTCATAGAAATAATATTTTATAGATGACAATACTGTTTTACCAAATTATGCTTATTATATTTTTGAAAAAATCAAGAAACGCAATAAATATCAATAGTAAAAACAAAATTGCAATAACAATTTACCGTAAATATTTTTCAAATTTTGTAAAATACATTAAATCTAAACAATCAACCAAACTTTAAAAAAAAGTTAAATAAACATTTAAACATTATAACATGATAAATTATGCATGAATATTCATAATATTATATAGATGGCTATATTGTTTTACCAAAATATGTTTATTATTTTTTTAAAAAATGCAATATAAATAGGAAACAAATTTAAATAACAATTGTATTAAATGAATTCAAACTTTTCTTTCATTTTTCCTTAATCATTTTAAAGAAATACAGTTAAAACACAATTTTAGATATAAAAGGTCCTTTATAATCCTTATAAATTAATATAATTATTGAATGTAAGTATAAATTTTTTATGAATATTTACTACTTGCAGTCTTATTGTTTAAATATTAAGGTAAAATTAAATTGCATTAAATATGTTGTTATTTTCCAATTAAATTAATTCTTCAATTATTGCTTTAAAATTTAGGTATAAGACTTTTTTCTAAAAAGAAAAAAAAAACTTTTTTTAAATATATATGGGTAAAAATTGATATTTATGAAGTAGATAAAAAATTTTTAATCTCTTTTGTACAGTAAAATGATTAAAAGAAAGAAAAAAGAGCAATTCAAATTTTTTTTATGTTTTTTATATTCATTAGTAGGAGCTTGAGATAGAAATAGATAAATCACATTTGAATTCTAAATATAGAAATTCTTTTTACTTTTTTTTAAATAGTTATTTACTAAGCTTTTTAATTTTGTGTTTGAAATAGTAATTTATTTTTAAATTTAATTTTTTCAGTTGAGATTATTTTTCATAGATCTTATTTGATTGAAATTTCAAAAATCAAATTCTATATTTGTTCGTAGCATTTGTTTTTATAATAAGTTCAAACTGCAATCCTTTACGAACAAAACTGTACCATTGCTTATTTTATTAAAAATATAATTTGTTTAATGTATTTCATATGTATTTAATGTTTTTTATATTATATTTTAGACTTAAATTAACAATTTTCCATTTGTTTAAGTTAATTATTAGTAAAAAGAAACTTAATATTTTTGTAATTATGTAAAAACTTAATTCAGAGTTTTATATTAGAAGGCAGGATAATTAACAAAATAAATAATTAACAAAATTGTACTTTAACTGCCTTAACTAAATAAAAAATTACTTTGCGATTTAAGGGTATTTTTTTTTAATATTAAAAAAAAAAAAAAAAAGACTTAAACATTCTTCGGTAAAGCATTTTTAGGTATTTACGAATTATCAAAATTTACAAATATTTATTTATGATTTATCATGCTACAGTGTTTGAATACATAGTTAAATTTTTTAAAGTTTTATTTATTATTTATATTGTGTTATTTTCATTTAGAGATATATTCGGTTAAAAAACTTAGCATTTTGCAAATTATTTAAGGCAAGAATGCGTGAAAAAATTTATCTGTACTTCCAAAACCAGTTCATTCCCCCCCCCCACCCCAGAAAAAAAGAACTATTTCTGTATCCCCATTCGATTTTAGTCACAGCTCTTATATTAATAACAATATAAATTATAACACAAATAACAAAAATTAATAAAATTATTAAATAAAAATTAAAAATAAAATTTTAGTAACAAATAAGCATTAAAAATAATTATTCGCAAATCAAATTACTAAAATTAAATAAATACGCATATAATATTTGAAATGCATCAGAAAGAATCCTACTTAGATTAAGAGTTTAAAAAAAATGCACGAGTCATAATTGATGTCTGATAATTTTTCAGTTTAATGTTTCAGTTTAATGAATAAATACTAATTTAATTTTCATCTACATTTTTTAAAGCCTTTGATGTGTATCACATGTTATTATCATGTAAAACATGATGTTATGAAAAGACCACCCTTTATATACATTTTTATAAACCTTGTCAAAAATAAAGATGAAAATCTACTTCAGTGGATGTAGTAAATTAAAATTTAAAAGGGAAAAAACAAGCACATGAATTTAAAAAATATCTAATACAATATATTGATAATAATCTTTATTATAATAATAATAATAATGATAATAGCAGGCCTGCTTAATTGCCAGGTGAATGTTAAAGTTATTTAATTTATAAAGTTATTTAATTTTGTAAAAAATCGTTAATCGCCTTTTTACACTCGCCTTCTTCAACAGTGATTTGCTTTCGATGGTTAAAATTCTAACGTGTGACCTCTATCCGTTCTTTTTCGCTTTCACTTGAAACAAAAATTCTTTAAGTGCATATTAAGAGCGGTCATTCCGAATCACCTGCATGTAATTAAATTACATAATCAAATAAATTAATGTTGTAATTTTGCGTATAAAAGATATTTAAAATAATAGAAGATCGTTACTTTCAGTGACTTTTATTAAAATAATTTTTAAAAAAATGTTAAGTTATTTGAGTTGGAAATCTAGAGGCTCTATAAATTTTTAAATTTTTTACAATAAATATAAAGAGTATGTGACCATCATTTCTAGCACTTCACCATAAGTCGATTTAACGTTTACTTAGACAAAAAAATGTAAAATTTATTTAAATGTTTAATAATTAAGTGCTTAAAAATTGTTTTTAACAATAACAAGAATAGACGGTACATATTTCATAAAAAAGGAAAATTGATGAATATTAACTATATATATAAATGAATATTACTGCGGAATTGCTATGAAAAATTAAAAAGAATTATTATAAAATCTATCTGATGAGATTGTGCTTCGCTGCACTTTCAAAAAAAAAAATCGCGTTTTCTGCTGAAAATTTGGCAAGAATTAGTAAGAAAATTTACAATTTTCATCGAATTTTAATGACCCAAGTATTCCTATCTCCCCCCCGTAAATAAAAATATTCAAAAAAATAATAACAATTAAAAAAAACTTAAAAATTAAATGAAAACTAAATTTTAAAAAAATTATTAACGTATTTTAAAAATAAAAAATAAATATTATTCTGTATTCAAAACAGTTTTTTTTAATTAAAAATCAAATATACATTTAAAAAAAATACTATAGTATTAAATCAAACATTTTTAGTTGCTCTTTAAAAGCGGGGAAATTTTGCAAAACAGTAACTTTTGGCTGTTTCATTTCAAAAGGTTGCCGACCCCTGCACTAGTGTCATGACATGGGATAAGTGTGAAAATTTAATAAAATTGATCATTCAACATATTGTTACTCATAAGAAAAAAATGGAACTAATTTTAACCTAAAAATGCAATTTAGAATAAATAATCTTAATTTATTTTTAACCACTGTTAAGTTCTAATAAATATTAATTTACAATAAAGTGTATACCCTAAGTTAGGGGCTCACATGCTTTATGAGTTAAGGGCTGCTTGCACAGCAAGTTGAATAACGAAGACTCACATGCATATTTAGTTGCTGAAAATTAAACACTTGTAAATATTAGAATTCATTCAGAAATGAAAGAACTGATACTCAATCTAATTTTTTCCCCCATTTATCAGTAATTGATTTATTAAAATAAATCTATAAACATTAGAGAGGGGAAAGAATATTAAGAATCTAACAATAAAAAGAACATAATAAAAGTGTAAAAAATACACTAATATTTTAAAGAAAATTTATAGAGTTTAAACAAAAACCAAAAATTAAAACAAAAACCAAAAATTAAAACAAAACCATTTGAGTCAAAAACAAGATACAATATTTATTCGGTATTGAATCATAATTCTAGAAATATTAATACATGATACAGTAGAATATTTGCTGAAAATTAAACATTTCAAATTATTAGAATTCATTCAGAAATGAAAGAACTGATACTCATTATAATTTTTTCCCCATTTATCAATAATTGATTTATTAAAATAAATCCATAAACATTAGGGAGGGGGGAGAATATTAAAAATCTAAATAAAAAACATAAGTGTAAAAAAATACATAAATATTTTAAAGAAAATTTATAGAGTTTAAACAAAAACCAAAAATTAAAAACAAAACCATTTGAGTAAAAAATAAGATACAATATTTATTCGGTATTGAATCTTATAATTCAAGAAATATTAATATCTAATAAAAGATTTTAAGAAATTTAAATAACTTTTTTTTCCTAAAAACACCTAAGTTACGAAAAATTTAAAACAATAAATTACAAACAAACAGTGAGCAGCATAAAAATTCACCTTTTCCTCCACTTCATTTAATTTTTCAGGTTACAATTACATTGTATTATAATTTAACATTCTGAAAACCACTTACAAATGCATGACTAACTGCTGCAAAAATTACATACTTACGACGAAACATGCAGAAATAAAGACTACATCTGTTATATTTTAGATTTTCAAATTCATGACTAATTCCAAGAATTATTCATGACTTAACGAAGTTACTATTTTCTTCGACAAAAACACAACAATAAATTTAAAAAAGCATTATAACATTCATTGAAATGATAGGTATAACCAAAAACTGTCATACTCTGCATCTTCATATTTATAGATTTTAAATTTAAAAAACAGAGTAAAGAAAGAGTTGAAGCAATAAAATAGCTGAAAAAAATACAAAAGCACATATTTCTTTTTTTCTGCAAAATTACATTCTAAAAGCTACGGAACTCGTAAAAGTGTATCACCATCTAAGAGAGAAAAGTAGACACTCTGAATCTGCTGTATGATGATAATAATAAATAAAAAATGGACGTTTTTTCAAGTTAACTCTTAACATCTGCTGACACAATTTTTAACTATTTGGAGAAAGTTTATCACCATCAAAAAAGTTAAAAATTAAAATATTACTTTTAAGATTTTTTAAATATTATTTTTAAGATTTCTTTTGAATATAATTTATTTTGTTTCTTTCAATCATGTTTAAAAAAGAAAATTTTTTTTCTGTTAAGTGATACATTAAACAACAATTAACAAATTTAAAGTTTTATTTTCTGATTTTAAAAAAATAAGTTAAAACTTTTTATAAATGTTTTTTTATTATTTTAAGATTCATTTGTTTTTTGAAATTACAAAGTTACAATTTTTCTAAAAATTCAGTCATTTTTCTAAGGATAAATATTTGAAAAATGGGACAAGTAACTGATACTCCTTATAATTATATATAATTTTATATTCACTTTCTATTAATCATATTATTAAAACATGGAAGACCATTAAATATTTATTCCAGTTTAATTTTATTTAAAGTAAAAGTCAGAAGAAAGTTTAGTTTTTACTGATTATAAATATTTATTGATTATAATCAGCATATAAATATAGTAAATAGATGTGTGGGAAAATAAAAAGATTAATTAACTTGTTCCTTTTATATTACTGTTGCATTTATATTTTATAGTGCTTCAGTTAAAANAAATAGAGGTGTGGGAAAACAAAAAGATTAATAAACTTGTTCCTTTTATATTACTGTTGCATTTATATTTTATAGTGCTTTAGATAAAAATTATGAGATGTTATGTATTTAACAATAAAGATTCAAATACGTATTAGTGATAGTGCATTATTTAAACTTATTTTAATTTTATTATATATATATTTTATATAAACTTTTTGGATTTATTTATATTTTTAAGCTTATACAATATTATTTAATAAATAAAAATATTTACTCAGTAAAATTTTAAAGTTCATGAGCACTAAATGAAAAAATGAATGAGTATTAGGAGAAATTTGCCTTCGTGAAGGATTTTTCGATGTAACTAACCCGCATTTGAGTTATATGGAGGGGAAAACCACGAAAACCTACCGCGGTTAGCTTGATGGCAAAGGGGCTCTAACCCATGATACGTCTACATCTGAAGATATTTTTACGTCAGCACTGTGTTCGGTGGGGAATTCGTACTGGCCAGTCACCCGTTTGAAAAGCGAACGCTCTATCCCCTGAGCCACCTCGACCCGTCAGAAATACATTGGGACATTTGAAAACCAAGTGAAAATTATTATCAATAACTGCTGAAAATACAATCAAAACACTATACAGATTTACGATACTATCGGCAGAAATTGAGGGGTTAAAAAGGGATTTAAATGCGCGATTCAAATTGTAGAAATATCAACTAAGAAATAACCGAAATCTTTCAAAACTACGGAAAAATCGGTAAAACTAGCAACAAAAAATCAAAAACACGAAATCGTCACATTAAAAGTAAATCAAATAAGTGATTTGAGTTTCGCTATTAATAAAATTGTATTTAAAAAAATGAAAATTCGTAGCAATAACTGTCAAATGAAGGATTGAAACATATCATGGATTAACGAAGACATCGGAACAAATCGAGCGTGTCCGAGTGATTTCTTGAATCTGCAATTCGAACTTCGTAAGTTGTAATAATATCAGCATATTTTTAAAAAAAAAATCACGAGATTATCAATAACTAAAAAAGACATTTAAAAAAAAAAGTAAAAATTCGCTGAAATAATTGTTGAAAAAAATGGTCAACATAATACACGATGGAATCGACTCGAGTTTATGAGAGATAAAATGAAGACTCAAATTCATAATTCAAAAAAAAATTCATGTTCGCACTATTAAAAATATTTGATCAAATTTATTTCAACCAAAATAAAAAAAGATTGGTAACAGTATCACATTGATTAATTATTTTGCAACAAATCGGAATTTGTAACAAAGTCCCACTTTTAAAATGTAAAATATGATGTTCTTAAATAAAAAATGACATAATTTCTAAAGCGAACTATCGTTTAAACTGTCGCGACGTAAGACAAAAAGGAAATCGAAAACTCCACGAACAATTTTTTAATCTCCAATGAGCGAGAAAGACACCTTTGAATATAATTCCGGAAAAGAAAAAAAAAAGAAAAAAACCTTTCGAAAATTTCCGCAGAAAAGAAAGGCAAAATTATTCGTTTCTCCAAAAAAATAAGTTTAAAAAAAAATAAGTAAAAAAAAATAATAAACTCTTTCGACAAGAATTCTGGAGCAATGTCGCCGAGATTCTGCCACGAACATCCCAACGGTGTAAAAATAATTTCAAAAACAAACTACTACATTTTACTTTTGATATTAATTCAGTGAAAAAAATATTTTATTTAAATCCAATTAGAATTTTATTTAATAACACAGTTTAACAAGTCAATATTAAATGTCCTACGAAAAGCAGGAACATTAATTTCATACACATTTACAACCATTAAAAATTCTATGCGTTTTAGAATTAACGAAACATAAGATTTTAAACGTATTAGCTTTTACTAAGTGTTTCACAGTACAAATATCAATCGAATTTAATAAATAAGGGAAAAGATTGTAAATCTGTCAGTTTAATTTAAAATTTTAATTGAATTAGTGGTTAATAGAAAAAACAAGGCAAATCAATAGTGAATAATAAACTATACATTAGGCATATACATTTACAGCATACCTCCTAGTATTAAAAACATTGAATAAACATAAATTTAAAGTGGCAATTAGGAAGTAAATAATATACTTTTTCATCATAAAAACAGTTTACTAACTTGCAATCAAGTGTGATGTGAATAAGAAATCAAGTGTGTTGTTCTACAACTGCCTATGAAAATGAAATTTAATTTTGCTTTTGTGACAAAATTAACAGAAATATTTTAAGCGATAAATAACATATTTCAACAGATATCACAAGTCGCTTTTCAACTATTGAATTTTAGCTAATAAATAGAAGTTTTAGAATCAGAATATCGAAAGCTTTGAAAAATGGCTAATGATAGATTAAAAATAGTAAATAAATAAACTTTCATTTTCAAGATTTTTGATTAAAAACAAATGTAAAGAGAAGATATAATAACTTTTATTTATATTTAAAGAGATATAATAATAAAAACAAAAGATAATTCCTGTAAATATTAATAACAATAGTATTGGCGGGAAATTTCCTTACGAAAGTAAAAAGCAATTCTTTGATGCATTCAATTAGCTATAGCCAAATCATGTATACTGTGTATAGTAGCTTAAAATTTCTAATTCTTGTCTTAAATATGGAATCAGAAAATCAATAAGTAAATAATTATGATAAAGTATGCAATCAAGTGAATGCACTTTCGAATGTAAGAATCATGTTCTGGTTGATTTTGCTACTAACAGCATTTCGTATCGAAATTGCAATAATAATTTTAATGTAATCTTATACTATAGTTTTAATTTATGTACATTTTCCCTAACGAATCAAACTACTTTCATATCATTACAACTTTCGTTTTATATAATAAATGTTTACATGCTATATGAAGTGGAAAAGTTCAGAATTGTATGTTAGTTTTATGAAGAACTTTAATAGAACTTTTCTCTCACTAACTTTCAACACTGTTCTGCCTGACGCTTAATCTAAAAATCTAAGTAAATCAGTAACGAAGATATTTAAAACAAACTTACATCAACAGGTATGGTTCGTGCTGTCTTTAATAGAATCTGTAACAACTAATCTACGTACGGATTTGAGCTATTAAGTTACGCTGTTCTGTACTAACACATGCGCATTCTTACTCACACATGCGCATAAAACCGGGGCGCACAATTCTGAATTTCAACGACGAATCAAGTGTTTCCAAAGTTTTTTAATAATTTTCACTTTACTTTTTCCTCTAGTGTTACTTTCTCAACATTAACAGCAAAAAGAAATTCATCCTGCAGATGACAAAAAAGCAATCAGATCAGTGATCTTTGCAGATCATTTACAATTTTTACAAAACTTTAGGTTATAGATTATAAAATGTGTATTTTTTTTTTAAAGTTCTAGTTGCATTTATTCAAACTTTATCTATATTATTTTCTACTACCGGATAATAATTTAATAAATATATTTTTGTTTCTAAACTGTTCATCAGACTCTTGTATGTTTGCAAAGAAATAAATTTTTAAGAAATACCTTATAAGAAAGATTAACATAATTTAGATCGATCAATTAAGACACATGAATTTCAAATGTAAATAATGTTCATGCTTATTATTTATTATTACAAATTTCACATGAAATATGTTATTCTTCTTCTCCTTCTCATTGGCACGACAGTCCATTATGGGCCCCGGCCTTCTCAACAAGCCTATGCCAAGACATTTTTCCCCTAGCCAAGGTTCTCCAGTTTATTATCTTTAAAACTTGTAGGTGAAATATGTTATTACTGTTATTTAATTTGTGTTACAATGAATTTTTAAAGTTAACTTGTTTCATAAAAAGAAAATGTCTTTTTTTTCTTTTCCTTTTAAAATTTTTGACTTTTGCATTTCTTAATCAGCCAAGATAGTTTTTGTTCATCGATTAATTTTTATTCTTTATTTACAAGCAATTTTTTTAAAAATTTATTTTATTATTATTTATTTGTTGAGTTTTATCTTTAACTTTTTATATCAGAGTTTAGGAAAGTCTAGATGTACATGTCTTTCTGCAAAAATCAGTCATGTTGAATATCTGAAACAGTGATTTCAATTCTTTTATTTATATTTACCAATAAATACATTTTTTGAATAACAAATAATTATTTATTTTAAGAAGATTTTTTTATGTTCCAATAAATTAAGCTAAAATAAGGTACTTTTTCTAAATATTTTTTACTAATTTTGTTTCAATGCAGCTATTTAAATGTTTCAAAGTGAATCTATTTTAACATAATTTATTTATTATTTTCAATATTTGCTTATTTCTAATTTTAATTTATTTACTATTAAAATTTCAAACTAAAATAATACAAATGCAATACTTGTTGAGATATTATGAAAAAATTATTTAATTTAAAGTTACTGTTTTTTTTAGTAAAAACTGTCTTACATAGATTTTACGAAATACCAGGGTATCAGCCATGAAGTTTGGTTTTGATCAAAATTTGTCGTGAAAAGACATTTTCACTAACTAATAATGTTAATGAAAAAACTTTTTAAATAAGAAAGAATATCTCTATATAAATATTCACGATTCATTTCGAATTTTTATTTTTTTTATTATTATATACTTATTAATAAATAAGTATGTATATTTATTTTGTTTCCGATTTGAAATATCAAATATTTCCTCTTTAGGTGCTAATTTAAATTCCAATCCAAAAAATATCTATTTGTGTAAAATATCAAAAAAACTAATTGCATTTGAAAATAAGATATTGTCTTTGAATAATGTAAATAAGTTTTAAGGGACAAATTTTTTTTCACTAATTTCGCTACGAAATATAATGCACGTTACAATTTTTAGAATTTAATTTTTTTTCTTCTTTTACTCGTTCTTTAACCATACTTTTTTCCCTTATAGGAGATTAACAAATTTGTTCCAAATAATTGTCTCATCAGTAGTTACGAAATATTGTTAAATAGAGAGAAAAAAAATTTAATGGAAAGCTCCAATAAATCATACCTGCCAACTCTTCCGGATTTTCCGGAAGATTTTATTTTCATACTTAAAGTGGTAGTAAATATATACTATTTTTTCTTTTATAAACTTAATATTTAAATGATTTTGATCACCACTATTCTTACAAAAATTAAGCACACAGATTAATATGCGTTACTATCATGGTTGTCAATTTAAGTTCTTTCAAATGCAACGTATTTGTTTGCTTAAAATTGAAGTTTTAATTTCATTGACTGATCGTTAAGACACGGTTCCCAGCAGATCACCGAAGTCAAGCATCACTGGCTACGGTCAGTGTGCGGGTAAGTGACCACTTGGATCAGTCTGCGTATGGACCGAGGGTGTGCGGTATTGGTTCTCGTTAAACTGCGCTACCGTAAAGTGCTCTACTTCGCTCGCAGGTCGTCTGGCTACCGAAGCGGGGGTGCCATCCCCTCCACAGAGGATCAAAATTGTGCTGGCAAGTCTTCGGATCATACTCCGGGATGTTTCCCAGACCGTCGCCAATAGCCCATTGTGCAGCTCTAGTGCGACTTAAATGAACTACAACATTAATACGATACCTTCAATAACGAGCGAGGAATAAAGTTACTTTTATTTCATAAGCGCAATATTGATTTGACCCCATAATCCATTCGACAATACACCTTAAAACATCTGCACTTTTTTAAAAAAAATTTTGTTAGTTGCCATAAATTATTTTTAAAGTAGATCATAGTTTTGCCAAAATTAGTTTCCTACTTATAAGTAATGATCAGTGGCGAATGTGGGTATGGTAAATACCATAGACCCATTAATTCCAAAAAGCGAAGAATCGATCAACATCAACGATTTTTTTTTCACTTAAGAATTTAATTTAATTTTTTTAAGGTAGGGCAGAATTTAAAAAAAGCATTCAACATTTAAAAGAAAGACCATAATTCAGAGAATCCATGATTCCAAAATAAATTTTTATTTTATTTATTTTTCTACAACCATAAGCAAAGAGACAAGATAAACAATTTGTTCCTCCTCTTATATCACATTACGAGATTGTAGTTGTTCTATAGTTTGTCTATAGTCAGAACTCCCCTAGCCAGTCATCAGAACCCATGGCGGTGACTATAATAATGAGTCATAGCTATTTTAAGTAGGGGTGTGGGGTCACTGTTTAGGACAGGTTTTGACTCTGGTCTGCAAAAGAAAGGTAATCTTTTTCTACGGTGGAGCTTTTGAGGAAGGCCTAAGCCCACAAAGGGCTGTCTTGCCAATGCTGCTAATGATGATGATTGTGTTAGAATGTAGAGAAGCTACCCTCCCTGAAATGAGCTATTCTTGTTTCCATAGCAGCAGACGGCCTCAGACTTTGTGATGGGGGGGGAGTTCTTACAGTAGACAAACTATAAAAGAAGAATTATCCTGATAAGAAATTACAAATACTACAGGTATTTTATTTAATAAATCAGTGCAGATTTTGCCATACGCTGATGATGTAGACATCATCGCAAGATCTGGGACTGTACTGAATAAAAAATTTTTGACACTGAAAAATTCAGCTAGAAAAATGAACTTAAAATGTGAAGGAAACAAAATATATGTATTGTGGTACAATGGAAACCATCTTTAAATTGTTTGAAATAGATTATAGATTCTTTTAAATTTGAATCTGTAAAAAATTTTACTTATCTAGGATCAGAAATAAACTATCGAAATGACACTAATCCGTCCCACAGTGGACTGATCGTTAAGACACGGTTCCCAGCAGATCACCAAAGTCAAGCATCACTGGCTACGGTCAGTGTGCGGGAGAGTGACCACTTGGATCAGTCTGCGTATGGACCGAGGGTGTGCGGTATTGGTTCTCGTTAAACTGTGCTACCGTAAAGTGCTCAACTTCGCTAGCAGGTCGTCTGGCAACCGAAGCGGGGGTGCCATCCCCTCCACAGAGGATCAAAATTGTGCTGGCAAGTCTTCGGATCATACTCCGGGATGTTTCCCAGACCGTCGCCAATAGCCCATTGTGCAGCTCTAGTGCGACTTAAATGAACTACAGCATTAATACGATACCTTCAATAACGAGAGAGGAATAAAGTTACTTTTATTTCATAAGCGCAATATTAATTTGACCCTATAATCCATTCGACAATACACCTTAAAACATCTACACTTTCTTTAAAAAAATTTGTTTGTTTCCATAAATTATTTTTAAAGTAGATCATAGTTTCGCCAAAATTAGTTTACTACTTATAAGTAATGATCAGTGGCTAATGTGGGTATGGTAAATGCCATAGACCCATTATTTCCAAAAAGCGAAGAATCGATCAACATCAATGATTTTTTTTTACTTAAGAATTTAATTTATTTTTTTTTTTAAGTTAGGGCAGAATTTAAAAAAAGCATTGAACATTTAAATGAAAGACCATAATGCAGAGAATCTATTATTCCAAAATAATTTTTTTTAATTTATTTTTCTGCAACCATAAGCAAAGAGACAAGATAAACAATTTGTTCCTCCTCTTATATCACATTACGAGATTGTAGTCGTTCTATAGTTTGTCTACAGTCAGAACTCCCCTAGCCAGTCATTTGGACCCATGGCGGTGACTATAGTAATGAGTCATAGCTGTTTCAAGTAAGGGTGTGAGGTCACTGTTTAGGACAGGTTTTGGATCTGGTCTGCGAAAGAAAGGTAATCTTTTTCTACG